TCAGCAATTTTTTATTTATATTCCTTGATGAGTGACTCAATTTTTAATGTATTTTGAACCTTTAGATTCAAAATTGTAATTTTTTCATACTTTACAGAAAAAATGAGTTGAAAAGCTCAAGAATGTCTGTATATTTCCTCAGGAATCTTAACAGATATATCCGAGATTTATATGGTAGCAAGAAATCCCAAATCCAGGCTTTGGATATGAGATGTCAGACGTGAAGTGCTCGTGGCTATGTGAACAATGGTACACAATAGTGTTTGCCCCTGTTTGGACAACATGGAAAAGATCGTATCTATCTCATACCGTAAGGGTTAGCTGTATTTTCCTCACCCTCAGTAAATCCAGCCAGTCTACTCCCACGCACAAACACAAGTACACACACAAATAAACACATCCAGTGTGAAAAAAAAGTCTAGTGTCACCGCTATCAAAACCTTTACAGTGCTCCCATGGCTTGGGGCCACCACTTGCACTCGACATGAACTCTGGGAATGTAGTTCGATCTAAGTGAAAAACACACACACAAAACAAACAAGATGCTGTAATCATTTCAGTTTTGTTCTTCACTCATCTCTATAACATGTAAATGTAATCTGTTGTGACAATAAATGCATTACCAAAAGAAAAAAGAAACCGCTTCTTGAATATGCCCTTTAATTTTTCAGGTCACCGGAGCCCTAGGTAATAGCTATTCATCATGTAGTGACATTGAAATGACACTGGCTCAGCCCTGTAACTATCTGCAGTTTTATTAGATTATGACTGTGGCAAGGTTATTCTTTATGGCATGCAAAGACACTGAAATAACAAAGCTGTAAAAACAACAAGTAAAAATTGTCCTATAAGCATTTAAGGTGACTTCCATTCACATGCTTTATGTAAATTGGCAGTTCAATAAAACTGTATACATTGTGGTGTTAGATTTAGAGACTACTGACCTTAAGTAAGCACTTGGCACAAAATTAATACTTTAATATCTGTATTGATTTTTGTGAACTTAAAAGAGAGGCCGGCATTTCACCATAGCGACCTTGGAGATGCTGCCACTGGAGCGTGACAGGGGCACAGCTTGAGCTGGGGTCCTCCACCTGTTGTAGTTAAAGCTGGGGTTGAATCTTGTTTGACTGTACTGGGGTGGGAAGAAGTTGGGGAAGTGAACAGGAGGCAAGACTAAAACCACAGGTTTCAGCACCTCCTGATGAGCTCTGCGGGGACGGACAACAGAGCTAGCAGGGGGAGGGGCAGTGTGCAGAGCACTGATGGTGGAATCTGTTGTGCTGAATACAGGGGTGATGCTTTTAGTGGGTTTGTGACTGTTTTCTGGTTTGGAAGAGGAGGAAGAGGAGGAGCTGGTGCTTTCTTGTTTTAAGGAAGAGAAGGAGCTGGACGCAGTGTTCTTTAAGGCTTGCAAGCACAGTGTTTTGGGTTTTCCTGACAGACAAAGAATAGGACAGTGGTCAGAATGACAGAAGCGGAGTTTTGGACTAAAGTGTAAAAGCAGTGAGAAAAAAAGGGTGAGGAGTAATAATATAGACACTCAAGACAGCACATGCTGAACTACTCCATTCAACAGAACTTTATTTTTTGCCATTCCTCTCAGAAAAAAAATCTAAAAGGAATGGTTTGATGGGCTAGTAGGTGATTAATTTTATTAATTGTATAGACCCAGGACTGTTTCCAGTCTTTTTTCTAAGCTAACCTAACTGGTTGTAGTTTCATATTCAATGGACACACATGGGAATGGTATCAACCTTAATGTACAAAAAAAAATCTCCAATTACTCCTACAGTCAGCTTTAAATATACATGACTTACAACTAACTTAAGATATACAAACAGAGTAATCATGCCCACCTTGTTGTGCCTGTCGCCTGTTAGTAAATTCCTGATGTCCACACAGAGTTATACGGTTTTTGCCCTTGATTTCTGGGCATTTGGACTGAATACTGTCAGAGAGGCGCAGCTGAGAGGTTGCCACTTTTGTTATCCTGTTGGTATGTCCGTGGTGCTCTTTTCTGGTTGGCTGGTTGCAGCTGATCCTATCAAGTATGCCTTTGGCATTTGCCCTGGCTATCATTTCATGTGGCTGCTCTTTGACCGCTGGCTCAGGCTGTAGATAGGTGACAAAGCAATATCGTTAGTCTTCTATGACATGAGCAAATATTGCTTGTATGAAAAATTTAGTGGTGAATGAAGCACGCTGTAGACTGAAACATAGTTATTCTCCCTCAGGTCCAAGATGACCTCACTAAGTGACAGCCCAGAGCCAAATATAAGAAATATTACTATTCTTAATAAGAAATCTAGAGGTATCACACAAAGAAATGTATAATATGTTGATTCAATGCTTTATCTACTCTAAAACATACCTAATTATATACCCATATTGTTTATGCATTAAGCAAAGTATTATAATAAGCATTTATGTATTCTAAAAAAAGACATTTGTTTGCCATAACGAATAAAGACTTGATGGTCTAGAGCTGGTCACCATATGTATTATTGGTAAAGGAGAGGAGAGAGCCGCCATGTCCTTGCTGCCGGCTGCAGGGTCACCTGCTGTCTCAGCATCAGCCCACACAGCAGCCCGCTGCTCTCCTCAACACCTGAATTATTCACAAGCACAGTGTACACTATGGGGACATGTAGCCAGTGTGGGTTTATGTGTGTGTTTTGTGTATTTAAGTGCTTGCTTGAACTTTAATGCAAATGTGTGTACTGTACGTGTTTGTACAAGCTCTCTTCGTCCAATCCTGCGTACACAGGTAAGAGTGCATACATAAAGTGTGCATGTGCGTACAAAGAGTGTAAATTTTGGACATGTGCATGCGACTATGTGTCTTGATATACCCCCCCAGCACACAGGTAAACATCTTTTAGAAGCACCGCTGTAATGCAGTCTTTGGTGGACGCCCTGAACTTTATTGATGCTAACTCATACAGACAGGGGGCGCTGAATTATTCAACAGACACTCTCCCTTGCTTCTTTTTCTTCCTCATCACCCCATAAATCTCACTTCCTTTCCATCTGCCCTAACAAAGTACGCCAAATTCTGTAAATCTCTCACTTCCTTCTACACCTTGACAAACTTAGCTGCCTCACACTATCCTGGAGCTGAACCCACTGTGTTTCAATATTTGATGTTTCAAAACTATTCCATCTTGCCAACTACATCCAAATTTATGAAACTCACAATAAAAAAATGTCAAAGTGTAACGTCTGGGGTTCTAAATCTCCTATTAATATTGTCCAAATTTTTCCTACAGCAGTTGTGGACTTTCAGAGGGGAGTCCATCTGTGATGTGCTCCGTTTCCTCTAGAAATTAGGCCAGAAACACATCGCTTCAATGTCTTTATTATCCCCAGCTGTTCCTGTATGGAAGCCTCATAAAGAACTTAACTGGGTGTCGCTTTGACAGTCAATGCAAGTCAGACAGCATTCAAATGCTTATATAATTGCTGTTTTTATGGTGCTTTTCTGAGTGCCACAATAACTTTTGATTAGCAGAGTTTATTGGAGGTAGAGAGAAAAAAAATCCTGTTTGAAGCACCATTACTGCAGTTTGATTATCTTTTCATTCCTATCTGTGGAGGTATAAAACATGATGAATGGCTAGAGAGAAACCAACACCACAGTGCAGGAGAGCTCTGTCACACCCAGTGGGGGTAAAATGGCTTAATAACCCCGCACTGGCATCATAAGTGTAAGAGTAGATTTCATAATGTGAGGGGGTATGTCGTAAACATGGCTATGCTGTGGATTATGAGGACGTGGGGAAACCCGGTTGCACAGACTTGATGAGACTTGCTGGTACGCCGTTACCAACCTTGTGGATCTACTGCAACACACTGCACCTATAGCTGTTTAAGAGTGGTGTGTGCTGCCTGTAACAGTCTTACTGTCTCTCTCAACAGCCGACTAGAAAAACTAATAAAGAAACTGAGGATGAGAGAGGGATAGACAGAGAAACGATGAAGGCGGATTGACGAGAGAAGTGAGAGGAAGACTTTATGAAGCAATGAAAGCCTGTGAGTAGACAACGCAATAGAATCAGAGACAGGAATACATCCCAGTTATCAGCATTTATAAAAGAAAATCTCCAAGTTATGTGAAAGTTCCTTTGAGACACATTGTTGACATTGCCACAATAAACCCAGATCTCTTTGAAGACATGTCTACAATGTCTAATTTTTAAGTGCATTTCATGATCAATGACATGGACATATTCACACACAAAAGTGGACTATATCTGGTTTCTCCCTATTTTCCTACTCTTGGGGGCTGTGAAATCCATGACCACCTCTCTCTGCTCTAATTGCATGGTCTGAAGCTGACTTCAACTTCTCTCATCCTGTCATCTCATCCTGATATCTATTTTTAAAGCCCACTCAGACAATGTCTTCCTCTAGCTACTGATTTTTATCCCATTTCAGCATTCATTCACACTCATCTCCTACACCTCACACATTCTTTGTTGTTGTTGATTAGACTTGGACATCTGTGTCTGTGACCCAACATTCTCATTTCTTTTAGTAGTCTAACCCTTTCCCTCCTGTGTTTGTTTTCTGCTTCTAGGATTTGACCAATTTCCTGTCATAGACTGTGATACTCATTTTCACCTGACCTTAACTTTAGTAGCCTGGACCTCTGCATACCTTCCCCTTTGTGCCCAAGCAGAAAAAAGAAAAACCGCATTCAAAGGGCTGTGTTTTTCACAAACATGCACCGGTTTCCCAGTAGATGTTTGTTTTTTGGTACATAGTAGAAAGCCCAGGGTACCTGCTTGCCATAGGGTGTACGAATTAAACTCATTTCACCCTGTCTGTGTCTGTGTGTATCCATGAAAGAGACAAATGTGATTGTTTTTCAGGACTCAGAAGAGAGTGGGTGAAGGAAATAGAGATAGAAATAAGTATTTTAACTGTGTGTATACTGTGTGTGTTTAACAAACCCTACTCATATATGTTCTCTCTGCACACCACTTTAAGTAGTGAAAAAATGCCAAGCAAACACTCAGGTTTCAGGCTGGTAAAACCCACGGTCAGGGTTCAATGCTAATGCTGGAGCTTTTCTCTCACTGGAGACCAGACAGTTTTCCAGGCCTCGATGTTGAAAGAGCTAAATTCTTGTCTCTGAAAGCAGGAGCAGCAGTGAACAAGATGTGTGTGTGTTTTTAAGGCTTTTAGCTTCAAGTAAAATGATCATGTGGATCCTAACATTAGACATAATGTGACCTAACAGTATAAGACAGGATATCCTTTTACAGTATGTTTAGGGCCTGCACCAATACAAAAAGCCGGCTTCAACATTCAGTCATGGTGCCTGCCGCTCAGTGATGTTAACATACATAAATAAGCTATTTAACTTATGTAACAGTACTGGAGTGTACATCAGTCTTCCTTTGCAGTCACTACTAACACTTAATATAATATAAAACTTCTAAACTAACCCTAGACTTCCTGTGGTAGACAAATCTTATGTCAAATTAAATAACATAATGAATACTGGAGATGCAGATATCATCCTTTCTTTAACAATTCATTTGGTTTAACCAGATGTGAGGGTTCTTTATGATGTAATGGTGCTCACTTCTCTGGTGAGAACAGCCAGGAAACAGCCATTGTTGTGTTCTGAGGGCTCCAGCATGAAGAAATGGTCTTTTTCCTCTGGGTCCTCCATATGCTCAGGAGATCTGAACAGAGACGGACTTGGCCTGAATTAAATACACACAAATGGGAAGGAAAACCATATGAAAATCGGGCAACTGCTAAAAATACAATTTAACACATGACACATTAACAAGGTATAAAAATTCACAAATGAAAATGCACTAGAGCTACAACTGTTTGCTGCCATTGTTGATTTGTCTTTGGATGATTTTATTTAAATAATAAATTAACTGAGTCTAAAAAATGTTTAGCAAATTGTGAAAAATGTCCATTACATGTTCCAAGATCATGTATGTTAATTATGTGTCTTGTCTGTCCACAACCTAAATAGATTTAGATTAGAGTTAATGTAGAGTTAGGTAAAGGACAAACAGTTACTCAATTATCAAAATGTTTGTAGATTAAACTAACCAATTAATCAACTGTTTTAGCTCTAAAATGCACACAAGCACCAGCTGTCTAGGTAAAGCCAGTGTGTTCCATTCCACAAATATAACTTGTGTTATATTTATGCCTGAGGCATTGCTGGCACTCCAGGCCAGATTACCACAGAACAGCATCAGTCTTGGTACATTCAAGTCCACAGGAATGGTTGACTTCAGCAAGTCTTCTTCAAACCACACACACACACACATGGGCGCAGGCACGCAAACAACACACTATTGAAAAAATAAAAAGAATGTCCATAGAAAGGCAAGTTGCAGGAAAATCTTTCTCTTTTTGCCCTTTTCACAGCATTTAGACATAAATGGCATTTTTACTGAGTCTCCTTCAGCTCCTGCCTGAGGTGCATGGAGACGTTGACAGAAGCCTGTCTGAAGGGAGACAAACACCTTGGCAGTCTGACAGACAGTAAGGCAAACAGACAAATAAAGACAATGACAGAGACAGGGTGCTGAAGTGTAGACACTGAGGCTGACCTGAATTGCACTTGTTTTGGGTCACACTCCTGCTCAGACCGGGTCTTCGCTTGCTCAAGGGCTCTGCTCACCACCTCCTCATTCTCCTCTGGGTATGACGAACAGGTGGAGTATACCACCGCCAACACCTTAGGGACTATACACAAAATGTGTGCACTGTATCAACTTGCTGCATGTATTTAAACAGAATGTCGAAATGACTTAACTCCTGTATGCTGCAACACCAATTTCAATTTATGTTTAATTAAACCAGGAAGACAGACAAGCACATACGCATTCAGTAAGTTTCTTCCTCTCGTTTTATAACACTTAAATTTGATTATTCAGTTGGGCTATGCTCCTCATCAAGCACTCGCTTTAAAAAAAGATTTCATGAATACTCATTTCTTGATACTGTTTACGTATGTTCATTGCTCATTTTATTCGACTGCTGCTGGCATGTAGATTCGTGAGGCTGTTGGCCATTTAATTTCCTTCATTTGAGCTTTAATTTTTGTTCTTGCTCACTAATTATAGCCAGACAGAAACAATTATCACCAAGCTGCTAACAAATAAAACCTGTTCAGATGTGGCAAACTGGCTCTAAACAAATGTGAAATCCTGCTTCTAAGGAAGCGGGACTGAGTCAAGAAGACAAGGGGACGGAGGCATGAAAGAGAAACAATAGTCATCACGCTCCGCAGCGCACCCACCTCACACCTGGGACATGGGAGGTGTGTGCGTGTATGTCATTTGTGTGCCTACGTAGAGACACTGAAATGAGAGCATCGACTTGACTGAGCCAAGGCACTCAATACACACCCACCATTAATTAACAGTCTTATTAGAAAGTATCTACACTGGCAAAAACGTAGAGTGGGCTGATCGATGGCAGCGTGATTAGAGGTGCTGGTTTTCATTGCCACAAGCAGAAAGACTCTACCTGTTTGTTGAACATGACCCAGACCAACACAGGCACAAGCACATTAAACTATAGAAGACAGCCTGAGGTTGATGGTTGTAGCTCACAGACACCAATAAACATGTGACTGAATGGTCTGAAATCGAATATACAGAATATAAGTGAGCAACAAGCACTGACTGCATAACATCTGTAGATGTTTTGCCATGTTCAGTTCTACAGATTCTATGTAATTCAAAAACAGAATTAGTATTCAGCTGTTTAAAAATATGTGAGGAATGC